TGCTTTTATTGTAGGTAGACATATCACGAATAATATTTTAATTACACATAAGCTGTTGCATTTTTAAAAAAATAAGCGCAAGGGGCGTAAAGCTTTTTTGGCGCTGAAACTTGATATGAGCAAAGTGTATGATCTGATTGAATGGGGCTTTTTGTTGCATATGTTGCACCGGTAGGAGTTGAATGCTCATTGGGTTAAAATGATTTCTACTTGTATCTCTACAGTGTCGTACTCTCTTAAAATTAATGGACGTTCTGTTGGTTTTTTTTTTATCCTTCGAGGGGTTTGCGTCAAGGTGATCCTTTGTCTCCGTATCTTTTTATTATGTGTGCTGAAGCTCTTTCCATTGCTATTTTACGTGCGCAGCAAGCCCGACTGTTGTCCAGAATTCAAATTTGTCAGGGAGCTCCTTTCATTTCTCATCTTTTTTTTGCCGATGATTCAGTTGTGTTTTGTGCTGCGGTGGAGTCAGAGGTTAGGGTTTTGCAACGTATTTTGGCCGACTATGAGTCAACCTCTGGATAGCAAGTGAACTTTAGTAAATCATCTATTTTTTTCTCTAAGAATGCTTCGGGTTCAGTGCCCGTTCTCTTAGTCAGTGTTTGGGTTTGCAAATGAATGGATGGCATAATCGGTATTTGGGAGTGCCAGCTATTTTGGGGCGGTCCAAGCAGGATGTTTTTTAGTTCTTACTTTCTAAAATACAGGACCGATTGTCTTTTTGGAAATCCAAATCTTTGTTGGCGGGCGGCAGAAGTGCTTGTTAAGGCGGTGTTGAGTGCTTTGTCAACGTATGTGATGTCTTCGTTTAAGCTGCCTCGCACATTGTGCTTGGATTTGATGAAGATTATTAGTACCTTTTGGTGGTGCAATAAAGATAAAAATCATGCTATCCATTGGGTTCATTGGGACTTGTTATGCTAGGGTAAAAATCATGGTGGCCCTAGATTTCAGGACCTAGAGGCGTTTAATTTCACTCTTTTGGCGAAACATGCTTGGCATTTTCAGGTTCACCAGAAGGGATTGCTTTTTATGTTGTTTAAGGCTACGTATTTTCCTTCTACATCTTTTTTGGAAGCTCAGTTGGGCTATAATCCTTCATGGGGTTGGCGAAGTATTTGGTCTTCTCAACCCTTATTGCGTTGCAGATTAAGGTCTTTGATTGGTAATGGTCTTTCTACACGTATTTGGGATGATCATTGGGTTCTTGTGCTTCCCCAAAAGATTCCACCTCCCACTTTTGGTATTCCATATTTTTGGGTGGTGGATTTGATTGATTTTAATACCCGTACTTGGAAGGTGGATATCTTGAATAGTTTGTTTTCTCCTCTTGTGGTTCGAGAAATTCTGAAAATGCATATTAGTCGTTGGGATAAATCGGATGTTCAAATATGGGGCCCTGATAAATTGGGTTTCTTTGCAGTTCATTCGGCTTATCAGCTTGCTATTTTGATGATTAATTTTTTAGGCGTGGATGCGAGTCATGGTTCGTGGAATTCTATATGGCGTTGTCCTACTTTATCTAAGGTGCAACATTTCCTTTGGCAGTGCTGTCATCAAGCGCTGCTTACTGCGGTTTCCTTGATGGCGAGGGGTTGTGGTGAGTCATTGTTGTGTCCTCGTTGTGGTGGTCAGGAGGAGATTGTTGAGCATCTTTTATTCTTGTGCCCTCATTCTTTGCAGGTTTGGAAGTTATCACCCTTCCATTTTGATTTTTCAAATTCTCATGTTTCTTCTTTTTGGGAAGGTTGGTCTTTTTTGGTTTAGGCGGCTATAAATTCGTCTGATTCTATGGGGATTCTTGGTTTGATTTCCTTCTGTACTTGGGGTATTTAGAAAGCTCGGAACCACTTAGTGTTTGAAGGGATGCTTTGGGCACCAGATCTGCTTATGAAGCGAGCAGTAGCGGTTTTTTGGGAATTTTAGGAAGCTAGGTCTCAATGTATTGCTTTTCGTCTGGTATCGACCATGCCTTTGGTGGGTTCATGGATTGTGCCTACATCCGGACAGGTTAAGTGTAACTTCAATGCTTCATTTTGTAGGGGTTCGTCCACGGGAGGGGGTGGGGCAGTTTTTCGTGATTTACGAGGCATTGTGCTTTACGCTATTGTTTTTCGGCAGTTTCCTGTGTCTTCGGCGCTGCTACTGAGTCTCGTGCTTGTCAGTGTGCGGTGTTTTGGGCTTCGATTTTGGGTTTTAATTGTGTTTGGTTTAAATCTGATGCTAAGACTGTTGTTGAGGGGGTGCTAAATGACGCTCTGTCGCCCTCTGAAATTGCTTCTATCTATTTTGATATTAAACGAGATTTGCAGGTTTTTCGATCGGCGTCTTTAACTCATGTTCGTAGATCCGGCAATAAGGTTGCTCATGCTTTGGCTAAGCTCTCCTTACCTTCGTTCCAGGTGGATCAACTTTTATCACCGATTCCATCTTTAATTCTGCGCATTGCTCTAGAGGATGCTGAGGGTTAGTTTTGGTGGTTGGGTTGATGTTGTTTTGGGCCTTTTGGCTCGGTTGTCAGGGGAAAATAAAAAATAAAAAAATTCACCACACATACACGAGTCATTCATTATGGGATTTTAGCACATAAATACTAAAATAAGAAATAAATACTTACTTCAAGCGATTGAGAAAAATCGATGAAATGGTGAGATAAAATCGTCTACAAAAAACACTCAAAATAGAGAAATATTCAAAAAATACGATCTTCGATATCTTCGGTCTACTATGCGAGTCGCGTGTTCGATCGTCAACTGATCAATCTTCGATTTAGAACACTTTCTATGTTATGTGAGTTTTGAGACCTAGGGTTCGCGATTAGATATAGATTGTATATACGACTGAGAATTCTCAAATTTTCTTTTTGTTTTTTGATATTCCTTTCTAATTGAGTATTTCCTACGTACAAAGTGTGACCCAACAAAGTGGGGACCAAAATAGACAAATATGACGAAAGGGACCAAAAATTAGAGATTTAGCCCAAAGGAAAATAATAGACAAATGGAACCAAAATTAAATATTATGTGCACATAAGGCCAACAGAGAAATGGGACCAAAAAATAAGCCTAGTGAAGCCCAACCCATTAATACATGTATTTACGGGCAGTTTTTATAAAAACTAAAAAACTGTCGGCTTCGATAAAATTTTTAGCAATTTTGAAACGCCTTCAAAATTGTTAGAAATAGTAAACTACTGGTGAAAAACGAAAAAACTTTTTTGTGCCCACATCTAATCCACTGTGTGTAATATATAAATGACATGCGTATTATACGAATGATTTAAATGTACCCATTACACTGTGCAACGAAAAACTTGTGGACCACTATGATCTTATCTTGGCCATACCATTGGTTAGAGACTACTTGCACAAGCAGGTCTCTGTTCCTTTAACTCACCTTAATTTGTATTAAAATAAGAGTAGTGATAGGAGAACCGAAAGGTATCCCTGAAAAAACGAATGAATCTTCCGTGGCAAAGCCACGTCAGATTCTCCCCCCCCCCCCCCCCCCCAAGCTAAAAGAAATAAAAAATAATAAAAAATAAGAAAAGAAGGGAGGATGCCGGAGCCTGCGACTTCGGATTTGGATAGGAACGGCAGCCGGCGGTGGGTATTACCAATCCTCTGTGATTTGAGTTCGGTCGAGACAGATCCGGTGGGTATTGCCTGTCCTTTGTTGCTCGACGGCAGAGAATACTCTGTTCAGATGGCGACCACAGAAGGGTGTTTTGTGGCAAGCACAAACAGGGGTTGTTGTTATTGATTTGGTTTCCTTTGATGAGGCTGTCTCCACTGCAGATTTTATTTCACTCCATATGCCACTCACTCTAGCTACATCCAAGATAATGAATGATGAAACTTTTGCCAAGGTGAAGAAATTGAGGTGAAGGAGGAGGGGAAAGGTTGGGATTTGCAGGGAGATGATGGGATTTGGTTGAGGGAAACTGGGGTGGCAGATCAGATCGGTGGTGGCAGAGATCGGCTTCGACATGGAGTCGCAACGGTAGAGATCTCATCTCTGTTGTTTGCTTAACTCAGCAGTGGCAAGAAGTTGAGATCTGCGGCAGCGGCTAGAGCAGCGGCGGTGATGGCAGAGATTGGCGTCGGCTAGGCAGATGAGATCGATGGTAACGACGGCAGTGCTCGGATGCTATTGGCTATGATGGACATTGTTTGGTGCAGCGGCGGTGACAGCTATGAGATGGTGACGGGCTAGGCGGTGGCGGCTCAAATGGAGCCGGTGAACAACGTGGTTCTCCGGTGGGCGACGAGGTTTTATAGAATCTGACGTAACTTTGTCACAGAAGATTCGATCATTTTTTCGGGGTTTACTGTTCGGCCCCTTATCATTTTTGTTAAAATAATATGGCTCCTTAAATCCTTTATGACTTCATTGCCCTTACTTTTATAAAAAAATCTAAGGGCATCATATTAGATTTTTTTATTTTTATTTTTATTTTTATTTTTTATAAATGTAATATGCCCTTATATTATAATAATATGGCTCCTTAAATCTTTTATTACTTCATTGCCCTCACTTTAATTTGTATTAAAATAATATGGCTCCTTAAATCTGTTTTCTTGGTCCTTAAAAATATATAACTGAGCTTTAAAAATTAAAAATTCTAAGAGCATCATATTAGAATTCTTTGTAAAAATAATAAAAAAATTATTATATTTTATACTGGCGAAGCCGGAGGCATGTGTCCTGAGACACACACGAGCTCCTCCCTCAATAAAACTTGACGTACCATTTATGGATAAACTCAAACATATGAGATTAGATATAGTTCCTAAAATTCATTTCACTAAGCAACCAAGCTGTTAAATGCCTAAATGGTCCATCAAGTGATTAATAAGTTTCATCTTGTTAAAAAAATCAGAAGTTTCATCTTACGTGTAATTAGGGTAAAACTGGAGAGGTGTGTATTTAACCCTTAAACCCGAGGCGGCTGTATTTAAACCCTTAAACCCTCTTAAATTCACGGAGGCAGCGAGACCATGAATCCCAAGCACCTTATTTCAAGACTTGATGGAAGAATTCTCTCTCCATACTCATCTATTCACAGAAATGCATCTACTGCCTCCACCACCTCGCCATCCATTCTCTCTCTAAAGCGTCGTCGTGACTCTACTTTCCCAAAACCCACTTCACCCTTCAACAGAACCAAACTGAGCGATTTAGAAGACTACGGGAACAACGTGAAGGAGTTCTTATCGCGATTCGTCTGGATAATGCGCGGGAGACTCTCTGAACTCTATTCCGATTGCGACAAGCAGAGAGTAATTGATGGCCTGCTTCCAGTCATTGTCTCGGAATTCCAGAAGGGTGTTGACCTTGATCTTGGGCAGATGCTTGGTGTGGCGGTGACTGCTCCGTCACCATCGGACGATGATTTCAGCGAGGATTTGTGGAGAACGGCCTGTGAGGTTACCGATTTGGGCGTGGATTGCTTGAAGAAGGCTGGGAAAAAGAAGGATAGAGTAAAGGGGTTTCCTGAATCTGAAGAGGTCAAGGAGATGTGTAGATCTTCTGGTGAAGAAGAAGTAGGACTTGATATCTCAGACCCCAAATGTGCTGGAGCGGATGATAAAATGGATGAGATTGGGGAGTGTAATTGGCCTCAGGAACCTAAAACAATATCTGGGAAATGCAAATTGGTTACTTTGAGAATCCTTACATTGGAAAAGGAGGATGACCCTTCTCCATTGTTGGCTAAATGGGTAGAGCTTCTCCAGCCTAGCAGGGTCGACTGGATTACTTTGATTGATAGGTTGAAAGAACAAAATACTCAAGTATATTTCAAGGTACACAACTTTTTATTTTTTCTCCATAATATGGTAAAATTGTATCTTGAGCAGAGATTTCCATTGCTTTCTTAACATTTTGTTCTTATGTTCTCAACCTTTTTTTTTTTTTTTTTTTAAACTATTTTTCCCCAGTTTGTTGAATGATCTAATGCTAATGAAGTTGTCATATTATAATGCTCGATTTGGTTGACAAGATTCCTATCCAGATTTATAAGTTATTGGATGTTCTTATGAAGTTCAGAATGATGGCATGCTCTGTATTTATAGTTTTCCCCTTTTCCTTTCTCATTTTGCTGTTTTATGATATGTTATTGTACATATTGAGTAACGGAGCACATTTTTTCTATATGAAGTCCAAATGCAAAATGATTTGCCCTTGGTTCTATAATTTTCGTTTACTTTAAAAATATTTAATGATTTGCATTTGTATTAGAAAAGTTTTTGGATTGGATTTTGGGCTGCTCGATTTGGTTAAAAGGTTCTTTGTTTTGTGTGAAAAGTTTCTTCATTTTGATTTTGGATTTTAGAATTAAGGTGCCTATAGTTTGTGGTAATTTATAATTTATATAATTTAATTTGGGTTAAGTACAAAAAACACCCTTGTTATATATAAAATGTGCAAAAAAAGCCCTGTTTATTTTGGTGCAAAAAAACCCCTATTGTTTTTTTGGGTGCAAATTGCCCCCTAATTAGCTATTTTGACCAATTTTTTTTATTTAACTCCCAAAATGCCCTCCTAGTCCAGTGAAAGCCATCACCGGTGAACACCAGGCCAAGATTTTTTATATATATATATATCTCTCTTTTTTTTTTTTTGTGTTTAAAGTTTTTCAAACCTATTTGTGATTTTTGATTTTTGTGACGAAGGATCATAGCAATTGTGTTGGTAAAGCAGTGAGATTGATTCTAGATATGGCCCCATTAAACTGAGAATTGAAATCCATTCAATTAAAAACTCCTTTTCTCTCTCTAGATTTATGCGTCTCTGAAGCTTCGTTTATCCCAAAGACTCCCTTCGACCACTCCATAGTCAACAGATTTGCGCTAACATTCCCGTAGTTGTTTTGTATGCATCCGGATTGGTTTTTCAGTGAACTTTTACAAAAGATTGTGGACATTGATTTTGACTTGGGAGAGTAATTTGAAGATAGCTGTGTAAATAATAAATAAATAAAGCATTTACAGAATTGCAAGACAGTTGCCCGCTATGCTTGTCTTCCTTGCATCGCCGCCGTAAGGTCTCTTCTTTGCCGCCACTCATTCAATTCATTGCTTGCCGGCCGCTGTGTCAGTTCAACTCCCTGCCGAATACCATTTTCGGCAAGCACCATTTCTGGGGATGAGTGTCCCAACTCCGGCGAGTCTACGTGCATTAAAGACTAATAGAGCGTCAACGACCCAAAACGGAGAGCAGAGTTTCATCTCAAATTAAGAACCATTTCATCAACACTATGGACTCCGGTGAGGAGCTCTGAGTTGACAATGACAACCAACTATCAATAGCAAACTTCAATCCAGACCGGTGACTACCGACAGCGGCACACGCGCCTACAAGCGCCCAGATGCGCCATTGATGGAGGCTTGATTATCCATCGACCTGGGTTTTCAGATTTAGGAAAGAGATGATGGTGGGGCTATGTGATGGTGACGGAGGAGGCTATGATTTTGTGGGGCTGCGATAGTGTTCGAGAAGGCTATGATTTTGTGGGGATTGCTGTGGAAGAGGCGGTGGTTGCTTGAAGGTAAGGGATGAGGAAAGGGCAGACGACGGTGGTGGATGGGGGTGCCGACGCTTTACCACCATTATTGCTATCATCCTCCATCACAAAAATCAGAAATTAGAAATGGGTTTTCAATTGAAACACTTAGAAAAAATATAGCTTGGCCAGAAATGGTGTTCGCCGGGATGGCTTTCACCGGATTAGGAGGGCATTTTGGGATTTTAATAAATAAAAAATTGGTCAAAATGGCTAATTAGGGGGCAATTTGCACCTAAACAAATAATAGGGGGTTTCTTGCACCAAAAAAAGTAATAGGGAGTTTTATGCACCTTTTGTGTATGGTGAGAGTGTTTCCTGCACCTAACCCATTTAATTTTTATTTTTGTTCAGCTTGTGTTAATGATCTTAGGTATACAACTTGGTTGCCCGTTGTTTGGGCATAAACAAGGACATGGATTGAATGACATATAGATATGCCAACAAAATAAATATCCAAGACTATGAAAAGGTCACAACAAGGATCTATCTCAAAAACATCCTCCCCTCCTTTGGTTGAAGCCCCGACATTTTTCTACAGGTTTCTTCTGCATACTGGCATTGTGAATTTTATTTAAAATAGAGTATTTTTTTAGTTTGAAAATTTGCCCTCTGATTATTTGGACCCACACTAATGTTTCTGTATGCTATTAACTTCTTCCTTTTTATGTTCCAAATACTCTGCTTATGGAGTGTGCATGGATATTCTTCAGAAGTTGGATCTAAATTCTGTGTCTTGAAGCTTATGTTTTGAAGGGAAATGATTACTTAGTGAAGATCAATTATTGTGCTCATAAAGTTTGATACTTTGTTTTTAGTCTTGTGTAATATTGTTTAATAATAAATAGTACTAATATATTGCCTAAAACTTTATGGTTTTATTTGGAAAAAGAGAGTGTTGTTTTGCATATTATATATATATATATATATATATATATATATATATATATATTGAAGCATATTTGGAGTCTTGCTGGTGTATCTTTGCGCACTTTTTTTGAGCCAAATTCTGTATTTGAAGCCTTGTTGTGATCAAAGTACAAAGTCTTTTGGCATTTTCTTTTCATTTTTATTTTTCTAAGTTCACTTTTTAGCATTGATATAAGGCTTAATAATGTCGGTGCTTGGACAATTATCGCATCTAAGAAGCCTTTTTAACTTATATATTGGTTTGAACTGCCCTTGTATTGGAAAGTAATGAGAAAGTGAGCAGAGCAAATTTTAGAGAGTGGCCAGTTGGATAGTATTAGTTTGAGAATTAGGTACTCCCAGAGCAAATTTGCGAAGTCAATTTATCTAAATACGAATTTGACTTGTTGACCGGATATGTGGATAAGTCTTAAGACATTTAACCTACAGACAAGAAGCCTAGTTCTATACCAGCGGTGGAATGGTGTCTCAAAACGCCCCTCTCAATTTTCCTAATAAAAGATAATATAATGAAGTTATGAAGAATCCTCAAGAAAACATGATGAAATTTGTAAAACATGCAAGTTTTAATTAATAGCAAGAGTCAAACCAAGCTAAGAGACGACCAACAAAGTTCATTGGCCATTGAACTAAAACAAATTCCCTGCTTCACATCTTTGTAACTATATAAATAAGAATCACAAGTTCTGTTTTATTTCCTTTCAAAAAAAAATTACTTTTGGTTTTTATATACATCTATTCACCGATATATATATATATATATATATATATATATATATATATATATATATGCACACACACACACATATATAAAACATGTTTGTGTTTCTGTACAAATGCCCTGGAGGCACTGTAGACTGCAAGAGTACAAGATATTTCTAAAAGTACCATTTTTGTGTTCTCTCTCACTCCCTGTTACTGTGATTTCCTAGGGGTAAACACGCATTTCTTAAATGGCTGCAATTTTCAGGAAGAAGATGTCAATCTTCCTTGAAGGTGTTTGACAATTGCAGATATAAATTTTTTTCCAATTGCAATAGAATCTATATTGACCAATATGTGTGAAACTCCAAGCAAAATGATAGGGATATAGAAGTCATTCTTTCTTTGCAGTTGCTTCTTCTGACATAATTTTTTTTTCGGAACTTGGATATATATATATATACACATTTTCGTTTCTTTGTTGAGTAGACTAAGAAGTGAGAAATGCGATCAACTTATGAGTTGGAATCAACTCTATATGATTGAATTATGTTACTTTGTCTCACTTTAATAGTTTGCATGCATACTTCACTCTACATGTAGTCTCCTGGATATTGATGAGTAATCTCAATTAGGACAACGTTTTTATAATCTTATTTATCAAGTATAAAATGCAATTCATGCTCCTTTAGCGGTTTTATGCATGCTTGTGAGTGTGGGAATGTTCCTGTACATTTGGTTTCTTGGCATCTGCATTTTGAACTGAATTTCCAATTGTTTGCAATCTTATTTTTGAACTTTTTTAGATGAAAGTAATATGAATGTTGTCGCGATGTTTTGTTCATTTTCTATTTCTAATAGGGTCAAATTATGTGGTCCTGAAACCCCAAGGAGGTAGAATAGTTGGCCAAGGATGCAGCTTGAGAAAGCAAAGGTCTTGGGTCCAACTCCTCCCTTGGGAGGTTGGACCAACCTCACAGTGGTAGACTGAAATTGGCATGCAGCACTTAAGCATGTTCTGTGCTTGGAGGGGATTAGTCCCACTGAATGCTGGGGATACCCCTCAATTCTCATATGTTTTAAGAATTAAGCCTCCTTGGGTTAGGTTTTGCCATCTAAATCCTACTAGCTCTGTTTTTGAATGCTTTCTATATGTATAATCTGCTTGTCACGCATGGCCACATGGGATTAACCCTTTGGCTTGTCTTGTCTATGACAGAGGACATCGTGCATTTGTGCTGCCATTGTGGGTGCAATGATAAAGGAAATGAATTAAATTGGCGGAAAAAAATGCATATTTTTTTTGTTTTTGTTTTTGGGATGGTTTTAACATCTAGTGGGTATCATCCAACTGTTTTTTGGTGTATGAAGAATATTAAGCACTGAACTAATTAATTGTATCTGAGAGAAATTTAATATCTGTTTGTGATGTATTATAGTAACTCAATGATCTTGTCCCACTGAACCCAAGAGTTCCTCTTTTGCCTAGTTTTTTTTATACGTGTGTCTTCCTTCTTTTTTTTGGTTGTCTTTTTGCCCGTTCCTACTGCTTCAGTACAAAGTCGTAAAAATTGGATGTATTCTGTAATCCTTGTTGCAACTAATAAATTACTGAAAGCACAAATCTTTTAGTTTCTATATTAACATGATGGACATTAAATGATTTATGTTATCTTAACATGATGGACGTTAAATGATTTATGTCTATTGTCTAGGTTGCAGAACATGCCCTGGGAGAAGAGTCTTTCCAAACCAACATTTGTGATTATGCAATGCTCATTGATGCCCATGCGAAAGAGAACCACTTGGAAGATGCCGAGAGGATTCTTAAGAAAATGAAAGAAAATGCAATCATGCCTGATATTCTAACATACACCGCATTGGTTCATATGTACAGCAAGGCAGGCAATCTTGATCGTGCGAAGGAGGCGTTTGAAAAATTAAGGAGCCAAGTCTTCCAACCAGACACGAGGCTTTACAACTCGATGATCCTGGCGTATGCAAATGCTGGGCAATCCAAGTTGGGTGAGTATTTGACGGCAGAGATGGTGAATAGGGATATGAAACCAGCAAAGGAAATTTACATGGCATTGCTCAAGTCATAAGCCAAGCAGGGTGATGCCATTGGAGCCCAACGAATTTCTTACGCGCATTTTGCGGGGTTCCGAAAGAATTTGGAGTCTTGTAGGTTGCTTATTGAGGCATATGGGCAAGCTGGTGATCCAGATCAGGCAAGGAACGTATTTGACAGCATGACTGTAGTTAAACTGAGTCCTGATGACCTCTGCATTGCTAGCATGGTTGCAGCTTATGAGAAGAAGAATTTGTTGGATAAGGCCTTAAATCTTTTAATGCAGCTTGAAAAGGATGGGCGCGAGCACGGGGTTGCAACTCTAGGCGTTCTGGTGAATTGGTTGGTTAAGTTGCAACTAATTGACGAAGCTGGACAAGTATTGGGCATGATTGCTGAGAAGGGTGGCTCTCTTCCTTTCAAGTCTCTTCTAAGCCTTTGTGATATGTACTCAAGGGCTGGGACTGGGGCTGAGAAGAAGGCTCGTCAAGCCCCCGGGGGTGTTGAGGCTGAGGAGGAGGAGCTTTTGGCGCCATTGGTCTTTGAGAATATTATAAAGGGGCTTTTAGCTGGTGGGTTTGTACATGATGCTCAAAGGGTATGTAGGGTGATGGAGACCCAGGGATTTGCAGCATCACAGCCGCTTAAGGTGGCTTTGTCGGTGTCTCAATCCTTTGGCCTCAATAGACCAGTGAAATAGTTTCAGTCATTCAGGATCTCTAGGGTATGTAGTGTGGTCTAGTTTTATTTTCCTCTTCAATTCATAATTTAATGCACAAGATGTATGACATACATTTACGTAGGCCTTCTTTATCATAGCAAAAATATACACATATATCTATATTTTAAGTAGGGGTGGCAATTTAAGTCCAAACCTATTAAACCGTCCAAATCTGTTCACTAAAATTAAATTATTTGGATACCCAAATTTAAGTGAGTGGGTCAATAATGGAGAAAAAGTAAGTACCTATTCAATTCAAGTGTTGATGGTAGGTTAAGAATTGGTATCCATTTTAATCCGTTCAAACAAAATTTTATTTATTTTTTTCTCTCTTTTTCTCTCCCCTCTATTTTATCTCTTTTTATGTCATAAAAACGGAAAAAAAAAAAAAAAAATTTATACCCAACCCAAAATGGACTTTGTACTTGCTCCATTTCAAGCCCTATGCTCGATTATGAGCCAACTTAAAACGGATCCAAATCCAACTAAATTTGAATGGTTTCATAAATCTTAATATTATTTAAACAAAGTAGTATTTACCTGAAGTATAAGGAGATTGCATTACATAGAGCAGCCATTACAATTAAACCTAATCCCAACACCAAATTGTAATTCTCTTCCATCTCATGTTTGACATGGGAAGAGCAGGTCAATTTTGATGTTGATCTCCATACGGTAACAGAAAGTAAGGAGCGCAACACCCATTGGGCTCAATATGATCCCAATTATTTTTAATTTCTAAGATGATGTTCTAAGTTCTAATCTCAAGAAGAAAAAAAAAAGACGGTAAAGAATAAGTTTAAGATTATTAAGCACTTGAGAATTTTATGCAAGAATGAATGTGACAACAGGAATAAGGGTAGATGATGGTTGGCAAATGTTGTAAAACGCAAGCTCTCTAAGTACAAAATTTGATATGGAGGACCTCTGAAATTAATATTAATTAATAAATTTGTTAGTTTGACGACAATTTACAGAAAGAAAGTAGTATTGACTAAAGAATAAAAACAAACATTAGAATTTATATAAAACTGATTGTAAAAATGTGCAATTCCTATGTAGAGTTGCAAACCATTGATATATACTCCCTCCGTCCCATAACAAGTGTCAACTTGTGAGTCACGATTCCTAATACATGACACTTATTATGGGACGGAAGGAGTATGGTTTTACTTACCCAAACAACCTACACATAAATATAAAGCATGTCCGCTTCCATGTCAGATTGTGCTTGTGCCCGGTTCCCTACAATATTTAGACAATTATATCTAATTAAAAAAAAAAAAAAAAAACAATTGCTAAGACTTTTTCAAATTCCATATATTTGGGTTCAAAAACCTAGATTTTGAATTTGAAGTTCTTAGTTTTAGTCATCTACTAGTACTAATATATATTAAGGAATTAATCATACATATACATACATACATATACATGGTATATATGTTAGCTTAAATACTCTGCTGCACGCTATTTATTGGACTGGCCCAAAAAATTAATCAAGCGTGGTATCATTACTCAACAAGGATCTAAACAGAGTTTTGCTCAATTTTTTCCCATAAACAGCAGAAAACAGAAGTAATAAACCCTTAAACCCGAGGCGACTCTATTTAAACCCTTAAACCCTCTTAAATTCACGGAGGCAGCGAGACGATGAATCCCAAGCACCTTTTTACCAGAAAGACAGTCAACCTTATTTCAAGGCTTGATGGTAGAAGAATTCTCTCTCCATACTCATCTATTCACAGAAATGCATCTACTGCCTCCTGCACCTCGCCATCCGTTCTCTCACCAAAGGGTCTTCGTCGTGACTCTACTTTCCCAAACCCCACTTCACCCTTCAACAGATGCACCAAACTGAGCGATTCAGAAGACTACGGGAACAACGTGAAGTAGTTCTTATCGGGATTCGTCTGGATAATGCGCGGGAAACTCTCTGAACTCTATCCCGAATACGACAAGCAGAGAGTTATTGATGGCATGCTTCCAATCATTGTGTCGGAAATCGACAAGGGTGGTGACCTTTATCTTGAGCGGATGCTTGGTGTGGGAGTGACCGCTCCATCACCATCGCAAGGTGATTTGGATTTGTGGCGAACGGCATGTGAGGTTACCGATTTGGGCTTGGATGGCTTGAAGAAGGCTTGGGAAAAGAAGGATAGAGTAAAGGGGTTTCTTGAATCTGAAGAGGTTAAGGAGATGTGTAGATCTTCTGGTAAAGAAGAAGTAGGTCTTGATATCTCTGACCCCAAATGTGCTGAAGCCGGAGTCAATTGGACTCAGGAACCTAAAACTGTTGGGAAACGTGCTAGTTTTAAAAACTTTTCGAGGGATTTAAATTCATAGATCTTGATTCATCACATAGAGACAAGTTTTATGCAAAAAATAAAATAAAATATGATGTATTATTCAACTAAAAGATTGAATACTTACATCAAGGTTTGAGTAAACCTCAGATCTCTCCTCTAAAGTGAATGTTCTCACTTATTGTAGATCCCTTTTGCTAGATGCATTCTCCTTGGATCTCCATCTTCTTGGTAATTGTTTTGCCTTTAGGAATCACTCATATGCCTCCATGAATGACCTTGGAAAACTAGGCTTGTGGGAGCCTCCATTAGATGAGAACATAAACCCTAATTTTCTAGAGAGAGAAAATTTATTCCTTTTTCCTTCTCATAAAAATCACCCCCTAAAATATACATAGACCATGTATATTTATAGGCAACATAAAAATAAAGAAAAGGAAACAACAAATCCTTCTCCATCTCTAATTCATATGTCTCAAATCTAATATGATTCCAATATCAAGTTGGGCTATGAGTGAGAATCCATTGGGCCTATTATTTTATTGGCTACAATGAATTAATAATTGGCCCGGTCCATGGACCCAATTCAATTAATTCATAAATTAATTTCTACTCCACTAAAAGAAATTAATTGAACTCCAATTAAATAATAAATAACCTCTAAGTCAATATTGCACTTTGACCCCTCTATACATAATTAGTTATCGGATAAATATAGCCATCAATCCGACTACTTAATTAATATATTTATTTTGGTACCTTTGATTATTTTTGGCTCGATCACAATAAAACATTTGTTTGACAAAAATAATAATTTAAATAAATAAATATATAATAAATCATTTGTCTAAAAACACACGAAGGCCTTCGAATTTACTTTGTGATCAACCATAATCAATACAAAATAAATACAAGTAGCAATGATGCAAATATTGAAAATATAACCCTCTAACTATTAATTACATAACTACCCAAAGTGTCGGTCTAAGGATCCCGAAGAATCCGCCGAACAAATCAAAGTAATTATTAATTAATAAAACAGTCTATACTTTTCTCATGCTTAAGAGTCAAATGCCATGACGGTGATAGGGAGTAATTGCATACGACGGCTCTCGCAATATATCTCAACCTAACGCGGATCCAGTTCAAGTCTTAATTAATTATGAGTCCATCCATAATTACCGACTATGAACAATTTATAATTACTATTTATATATCATGCATTGATTGTCATCACATACATATATATAAATATTTCTTGTAATTACATGGACACTATCAATTTCATAGTGAATCGAAACATAATACATTGAATTCACCAATTATATAAATCATAAATATTTCAGATATGTCAGGAACATATGTCACTATAATCCAGATAGGAATTTGCTATGCCAGGGCATATAAATCCCAACAGCTCCCACTTGCCCTCATAGCCAATTCAAATTGCACCTAACTCCAATGTTATCCAGATGATGATCAAAATTATTGATCAATGACACCTTTGATAATGGATCAACAAAGTTGTGTTCCAATGCAATGTTCTAACTACAAGTGCATTTTCTTGCCGGACAATATCATGTAGAACATGATACTTCCTCTCAGTGTATCTTGTTCCTCTATGGAACCTTGGGTCATTGGTTTGGACTACTTCTGCACTATTGTCACAACATAGCTCAATAGGCAGGCTAGTATACTCCACAACCTCTAAATCAGTGAGATCAAACTAATAGGCTTCCTTTGCCGCCTTTAAGGCTGCAATATATTCCACCTACAGGTTTGAGTCAGCAGTTGAAATCTGCTTAACAATCTACCAACTGATCTCCCTTCCATTAAGTGAACATACACTAAGTCATGAACCTCATAGTATCTACTTCTGATTGAAAATCAGAACTAGCATACCTGACTAGGACCATATCATTTACATCCATAAATGAGTATGATATCATTGATTCTCCTTAGGTACTTAATGATATTTTTCACAATAGACCAGTTGTCAAGTCCAGTATTGGACTGATCTCTACTGACTATCCCTACTATGTAGCGGATGTCCTGTTTGGTATAGACCATGGCATATATGAGACTCTCATATGCCGAAACATATTGTTCCAGTCTCATTTGCTCAATCTCCTCTGCTAGTCTTGAAAAACTAGTTGCTAGAGAGAGCGATCCATATCAATAAAGCAAGAACTCATTCTTTGAGTTATGCATACCAAACCTGGTCAAAACTTTATCAATGTAGGATTATTAAGATAAGCCTATTTTCCTTTTAACCTGATCTTGCAAAAGCTTGATCCTAGGAATATAGCTTACATCTTGAAATTCCTTCATTTAAAAGTAATTGAACAACTACCTTTTAATTGATGACAAAACTTCCACGTCATTATAAATGAGTAGGATGTCATCAATATATAGACTTAAGAAAAATAATGACATTCCCTTGTACACTCATGATTTATTCACTAAGAAATCTTCTGGTATCTTTTTGTAGATTAACTTGCCTTCCATAGGAATCACCCTACTAGAAAGTTCTACAAGATCCCAGAATTTATTAGAATACATAGATTCCAACTCTGATTTCATAGTAACTCACCAAAACGATCTGTATCCACATCGGTTCACGCTTCCGTGTAGCTTACTGGGTCCAACTCATGTTTAACAGGGATGTCCATAATGGTCTCACCTAAAAACATGATTCTGTCGAATTGGATGATAATCCTCCCACTACATCAATGTACCGATGCAAGAATCTGTGTAGTAGATGCTGCTAACGCATCAATAGGGAATTCATATATTATTCTCAATCTCTATAATAAGTGTGTTCACATGTGGTACATCTGGTACTCATACCAAATTCTCTAACATTAT